ACTACGTCGCCATAATAATAATATAATACTTACAAAAGTTAAATTAATCTGAGCAAAGTACAATATAATTCATTAGCAAATGATAAAATTCAAATCACACAAGAAACATATGGAAATTCTTATGCTATAAAAATTGTAATAGAAATTTTTTTTTCTTTTTTCTTTGTTTTTCAAAAAATAAAGTAATTAATTATTACTTATTCTACAAAATGTTACAATTTAGGTACAAGTAAACTCAATCACTATGTTTGGTCTTAGTATACCACCTAGATGTATAGTAGCGAATATTGACATCACTCTACCATTAATCATGGATCCTAATACTAATGAAACAACATTTCATACGGATGATTTTGATATAACGTTTGCAGAGAATGCTAACAAGTATAACCAATCACTAACGATTAATAATGAAGATTCTAAGATTCAATTTAATAATTTATCCGCCAAATCATTAGTTATTAATTCTAATGCTGGTTATGTAAATGGAACAATCACAGGCATCGAAAATAATTTTAGTGTCATTGCGGATGATGCTGATTTAAATCTAAGTGTTGGAATTGCTGATAATGCAAAGTCTGCTATGGTTGATATTGTAAATGATGTGGGTCAGATTAATTTAACTTTTGTAAGTATTATATTATTATTATGGCGACGTAGTATTTTATTTTATTTTTATTGCGGTGCATATTGTTATTGTTATTTTGCTATTTGTTAATAAATAATATTATTAATTATATAATAATAGATCAATGGATTCACTGGTAGTTACGATATTGTTACTGGAAGAGGTATAATTTCAACAAATTATCCACAAGAAGTTAAAATAAGTGACAATGAACATAAAGCCAATGACATCAACACATCCAATAATAGATTTACAAATGGTAGTTTAACAATTAAAAATATTAGTGGCAAGGTTTCTGTTCTATTTTAAAAACAATTATGTATCTTATACTATTTTATGTAAATTCAAGAGGCAATGTATATTTTTTATTTAAATATGAAATTCAAGTTTAAAGTATTATTAAATCAATTGTAAAAAACATACAACACTGCGTCTTTTTATCAAAATTTTTTTAAAATAAGGTTGAAATAGGCCCAAGGCTGCATCCATTTTATATGACTTGACTATGGTTGCAATCGTCACAAAAAGTTGCATCTGGTATCCTTGTTGTGATTTGGTGACAACATAAATAATAATATAACTATTTGATTTATTTGCATTTGCATTTATAATTATTATGAAAGTATTTCATCATTCAAATTCAAACGTGATGGTA